TAACAAGACTATATAATATACTGGAGAGACAATACTGCAACTAGATACACAGAAGAGCACTCGAACAAGTATCAAAAAAGTAAATATGAGAACAAATATATTTCTGAGAAAATAATCTGAATTCTGGAGAAAAAAAATGAAAATCTTAGGAAAGTCAAAAATATGAGGAAAAATTAAGCAGCTGAAAAAAGTAATGTTTTTAGCCTCCACTAAAAATAACTTGCGTTTGTTCCATTTGTGGGGTGCATAAAAACTAAAAAGCAGCCTCTGTTATTGCCCAAGCCTATAGAATATATAGATTCAAGATTCAAGGCTTTCATTGTCATTTGTACATAGCCACAGTGTGGATATATAGGTGTTACTCAGAGGCATCAGTGTTTTCTGACCTTGAGGGACCTGGATGGTGCCGGCGCTGACCCCGCTGACCACATCACGCAGAAGACTCTCTCTCGGTTTGTATTTTGGGAGCCAGCGGAGAATAGGCAGGAGTCTGAAGAGCAGAGCCTGCAGTCTGAGAGCCGAGCATCTGCAGGAAAACACACCGGAAAAATCATATTCTGAGAAAAAAAATCAGAAATAGGAACTCTGAGACAAAAGTTAATATTTTAGAAAATATGTATTTCTGGAAAAAAAATCGAATTCCAAGAACAATTTCTAAATCTGAGATCAAATCAACTTCTGAAAAAAAAAAAAAAATCAAAATGTCATGAAAGTCAAAAATACGAGGCAAAAGTAAGAAATGTGAGAAAAATTTTTAAATCATATTCTGAGAAATAAAATCAGGAACATTTATTCTGAGAAACAGTAAATATCTGAGAAAAAATGAAGTTCTGTAAATAAAAAAATCTAAATCTTAGAAAATTCGAAAATATGAGAAAAATAATTATAAATCTGAAAAGAACTCAGAATAAATAATAAATATTCAAAATCTGAGAAAATAGTCAGTTCTGAGTCGAAGTCAACTTTATTGTCGATGTCTCTGTGTGTGTGCACAGACAGAGAGATCGAAATACCTTTTCCCACAATTCCGAATACAAAAACAAATATATATACACAATCAACAGCACATTTATACATATGCACACATTAAAGGTCACCTATCATGCTATTTTTAGGTTTTCAAAAGTGATGATTCTGGTATAAAGCTTTAATAAAAAAGTTAGGGTCTGAGCTCATGCAGGACCCGGCAGCTACTGTCTAAACTAAATGCTGCCGTGATGAAACGCCATATCATGGATTATCAAGGATTCTCTCTGAAACAGTTTGGAGCTCAAAGGCTTTCTCTCTTGCCGGTTATACCACAAGGTGAGTTCCTTTTTACTTCCTGCTTCTTCACACACATGCTCTCCAGTACAGGTTAGCTCTGAGTGTTAGCAATGCTAACGTAAACACCGACCATATTACGTCCAAAACAGTCGAGCATTGTTTCTGATAGCAACGTTTCTGATTGGGCCGTGGGTCCACATTTCAGATATTACATCATATCGGACGCAAATCTGGATCAGCTCCGTTGTTCCCCGTTTTTAGAGATTTGGGTACGGAGGAAAAGAGAGAGGGTTTTATTTTCTGACGCTGCGTGAGTTCCCCGACACACCGGGGGGTTATGTATAAAATACATCAAAAAGTGCATTTTGCATGATAGGTCCCCTTTAAGACATAAATATAAGCACAACAATCAATACACAAAATACCAGTCCCTTCAATATCTTTGAAAAATGTACATTAGTGCAAGACTGTCCATAGCAGCGTAAAAAGTGAAGCTGTGCAGAGAGAGAGTGATCATGTGACCATGTACCTGAAGAGCTTCTTCACCTTCTCTCCGACGGGGAACTGTCGGCTCTTCTTGTCAAACTCTTGGTCAAAGTCTGGAAGGTTAAACGCCGGCCTGTCAATCACATAACGAGGGCGGCGCCTTTGCATGGCTGCAGCCAATCGAAATATTAAAAGACAACAGAAAACTCTCAAAGTCCTCAAGGTGCAATTAAAGAATTTACATTTCCCCTAGACATATTTAAAGAGTCCCTATTATGCTTTTTGGGGTTTTCCCTTTCCTGTAGTGTGCTCTATAGATTTTAGTGCATGTAAATGGTCTGCAAAGGTTAAAATCCCTGTGTTCCTGAGTTAAAGTATAGAGACACTACATATACACCTGAACATCAGCAGGAGAGGACTCTTTAAAGTAGAGACACTACATACTGATATACACCTGAACATCAGCAGGAGAGGACTCTTTAAAGTAGAGACACTACATACTGATATACACCTGAACATCAGCAGGAGAGGACTCTTTAAAGTAGAGACACTACATACTGATATACACCTGAACATCAGCAGGAGAGGACTCTTTAAAGTAGAGACACTAAATACTGATATACACCTGAACATCAGCAGGAGAGGACTCTTTAAAGTAGAGACACTACATACTGATATACACCTGAACATCAGCAGGAGAGGACTCTTTAAAGTAGAGACACTACATACTGATATACACCTGAACATCAGCAGGAGAGGACTCTTTAAAGTAGAGACACTACATACTGATATACACTTGAACATCAGCAGGAGAGGACTCTTTAAAGTAGAGACACTACATACTAATATACACCTGAACATCAGCAGGAGAGGACTCTTTAAAGTAGAGTCACTACATACTGATATACACCTGAACATCAGCAGGAGATGACTCTTTAAAGTAGAGTCACTACATACTGATATACACCTGAACATCAGCAGGAGATGACTCTTTAAAGTAGAGTCACTACATACTGATATACACCTGAACATCAGCAGGAGAGGACTCTTTAAAGTAGAGACACTACATACTGATATACACCTGAACATCAGCAGGAGAGGACTCTTTAAAGTAGAGACACTACATACTGATATACACCTGAACATCAGCAGGAGAGGACTCTTTAAAGTAGAGTCACTACATACTGATATACACCTGAACATCAGCAGGAGAGGACTCTTTAAAGTAGAGACACTACATACTGATATACACCTGAACATCAGCAGGAGAGGACTCTTTAAAGTAGAGACACTACATACTGATATACACCTGAACATCAGCAGGAGAGGACTCTTTAAAGTAGAGGACACTACATATTGATATACACCTGAACATCAGCAGGAGAGGACTCTTTAAAGTAGAGACACTACATACTGATATACACCTGAACATCAGCAGGAGAGGACTCTTTAAAGTAGAGACACTACATACTGATATACACCTGAACATCAGCAGGAGAGGACTCTTTAAAGTAGAGACACTACATACTGATATACACCTGAACATCAGCAGGAGAGGACTCTTTAAAGTAGAGTCACTACATACTGATATACACCTGAACATCAGCAGGAGAGGACTCTTTAAAGTAGAGACACTACATACTGATATACACCTGAACATCAGCAGGAGAGGACTCTTTAAAGTAGAGACACTACATACTGATATACACCTGAACATCAGCAGGAGAGGACTCTTTAAAGTAGAGACACTACATATTGATATACACCTGAACATCAGCAGGAGAGGACTCTTTAAAGTAGAGACACTACATACTGATAGACACCTGAACATCAGCAGGAGAGGACTCTTTAAAAGTAGAGTCACTACATACTGATATACACCTGAACATCAGCAGGAGAGGACTCTTTAAAGTAGAGACACTACATGCTGAAATACATCTGAAAATGAGCAGGAGAGGACTCTTTAAAGTAGAGACACTACATACTGATATACACCTGAACATCAGCAGGAGAGGACTCTTTAAAGTAGAGACACTACATACTGATATACACCTGAACATCAGCAGGAGAGGACTCTTTAAAGTAGAGACACTACATACTGATATACACCTGAACATCAGCAGGAGAGGACTCTTTAAAGTAGAGACACTACATACTGATATCCACCTGAACATCAGCAGGAGAGGACTCTTTAAAGTAGAGACACTACATACTGATATACACCTGAACATCAGCAGGAGAGGACTCTTTAAAGTAGAGACACTACATACTGATATACACCTGAACATCAGCAGGAGAGGACTCTTTAAAGTAGAGACACTACATACTGATATACACCTGAACATCAGCAGGAGAGGACTCTTTAAAGTAGAGACACTACATACTGATATACATCTGAAAATGAGCAGAATAGGGCCTCTTTAAAATGTCTTTAGGACTGAACTTGTGTTTGTTTAACATTGAGGCGCCTTTAATCTAACCTTGGAGTCTGAAGGATCAGGAAATGTGGACTGCTAAAAAGATTTGCTCAACAGCAGGTACATCATATTAGAAGCACATACAATCACTCTGTGTGACAGAAACAAGTCTATCCACAAGAAAAACTACATTTTATTTAAATATATCTACATTTAAAAACATGAGCATTTTACAGTGAAGTGAAAGTGAAGACATTGTCAAAAGCTAAACAGTTTCTAACCTTGAAAAAAAAAAAAATCATAATTCATTTCAAGGTAGAAAGTTGTTGGAATGTAAAAAGGATCCCAAATTAATGAAAGTAAAATATTTATTGAGTATTCTTTTTTGGACCATCTTTCCCAAGGTTTCATAAGAATTGCGTTTACACAAAATAGCTTTAAATGAAATAAAATATATAAAGACATGGCATAGTAAATACATTCTTCATCTTTGCACAAATGCTGAGAATGAGTGGATAATACTTTGGTTCCCATTCTCAATGTGCATTTTGTAACGATCTTGTTGTTTAATCGCATTAAAAGCCATGTGTTTCAGAGATGTGTCTGCAGCCGTGCGTTAACCTCCCAAATGTACCCCGTTTCATTCCAATATCAGTTTGTATCAGACAGTGTTTTAGTTTAAGATGTGATCAAATGCATTACTGTACCTTAATGTTGGAGTCTGCGGGCATTAGGCTCAGGTGCGTAATGACTCCTTTGGTTTATTACTTATCAAGATCTTAAAGCCCTGCAGGGTGGAGCTTAGAAAGAGAGACGTTTCAGCAAGCGTTGTTAATTATCAATAATTGCAACTTTAATGGGTTTTATTTACACGTAGCATCCCGACATCAACAGAAAATACATTTACACATGTTTTATGGTTGACAGCTGGAGCTAAAACACACAGAGTAGCTTGACACACGACACAAATGATAACATAATTAAACATCTTAAAAGGGAGAGACAGGGATGACCATGGGTTTTTTTTTTGTGCAAAACAATGGCATCAATATCAGGACTAAAGTGCGATCATTTATCAGATTCATTTGTATGAGGAATGTCATGATTTCCCCCAAATCACACCAAAAGAAAAAAGCATGTCGCCCCCTGGTGGACACATGAGGAAATACACCAATCCCACAGGAAAGCATTTTCTTTAACAGGTTTTGGAGGACGAAATAAAGGTTTAAATACGAGTGCAACTATTCATATCGGTAATCGAAGCTTTAAAAAAATGGGTTCTTAAATTGCGTCATCGATGAAGGTGAAACTGACTGCGTGGAGATTTAAGTGTGTTTTAAAAAAGCTAATTTAGGAACATTCGACAGAGCGATCAGCAGAGAGGCTTCAGGTTTTAAGCTTTGAGTTTTTACTTTCATTTGAATCATTGGATTAAAGACCTGTAACAGTGGGGATTTAATGTTTATATGGAGGTAGATTTGTCTTGATATGAATTGTGTGAACAGATCAATAATCTGAGTGTAAATGTAAACCAAACACTTCCATAATTGCAAAAAAAAGATTTGTAAACTCACATACATGTTTCAATAAATACACAAAAACATCCAGTGTGAAATTCTGTAAATAGTATAATTAATTTACAATTTAACGAAAAGCATTTGTGAATATATTTCTTACCTTAACAACTCTTTGATAAGTTGTACAGGTGTTTTTCTAGAAGACTACAGTATACATGAGAGTAACAAATGCCTCACTTCCGGGCAAAAATTACAGCCCCGCCCACTTTTGGGGGAAAACAAAGCTGTCATTTGAACGGCGGTCGATACAAATTCTGAAGTTTTTGCCAATCCGATCAGAAATGTAAGAAAACCGTGGATTTCTGGATCTTCAGAGAGCCCGATTACGATGGCCAGACAGGCAAACAATTACATTAAGCTATTGGAAATCGACGATCGGGCTCGAAATATGGTTAAATATAGCAGTAGGCTATCGATTCTGAGAGTAACTTTAAGGCCCCGCCCACTTTTGGGGGAAACAACGCTGTCATTTGAACGGCGATGAAGCCTGAAGCCAGAGCTCTTCTGTTACTGTCCTTTCTTCTTAGAGGAAGTCCAGAAACACTGAACTCTGGATTAGTTTTAATGTTTGATGTTAAAACTATTATTTTCTGCCTCGCTCATGAGAGTAACAGCTGGAGAAATTACAGCCTCGCCTACTGATTTTAATTTAACCACATATCGAGCCCGATTCTCGATTTCCAATGATTGAATGTAATTGTTTGCCTGACTGGTCATCGTAACCGGACTCTTTGAAGATCAGAAAATCAACAGTTTTCAAAAAGTTCTGATCGGATTGGCAAAAACTTCAGAATGTGAATTGACCGCCGTTCAAACGACAGCGTTGTTTTCCCCCAAAAGTGGGCGGGGCCGTAATTTTCGCCCGGACGTGACGTAGGTGTTACTCTCATCTATGAGGTGATACTGCGGCGCTGATCTTGTTTATAAGATATATCAATTATCGTAAACAACAACGTGACGTCTGTAAAAACACAGCTGTCTCTGCCGGCTGTTTGATACTCAGAGGAATTATACAGTTGTTGACGAACAGAAATATTGTTTTCTGGCACAACATTTTACGGGGAACATCTGCTCTGGTAGCACGGCTTGGACAAAACCCTGAGTCGTGAATGCAGTTTGAATTTGTGGATTTTAAATCTGTGTTTGTCGATCAGCTTTTACAAACTTAAAATTGTACTTTAAAAAAATATATTTACAAATGCTTTTCGTTCATTTGTAAATTAATTTGAGTATTTACAGATTTTTTTTTTGTGGCATTATTTGAAGCTCATTTTGCATTTGCACTTTTTGGTGAGTTTACATCCTTTTTGCATTTCTTTAAAGTGCGTTACACAGGTTATGGATCTGTTCACACGCATCATATTCAGACGACTACCTCCATAGTTTGAAGAGTCAAAACTCCCGAGATGAAATCTGTCTCTTAGAACAAGTCGGTCCACATTCGTAACTCAGAAGCAGTCTTCAGAGGCCAATCTACTTACAGGAATATAACATGTGTGTCATTAAAGTAGGAGAACAGGAAAACACACACACACAGCTCGTTAAGCAAGTGTGTGCGACTTCAATCCTCTGCTTTGTTCCAAAGCTCTTTTGAAACCCTCTCCGAGTCCATGGCAGTCTGTAAAAAGAAGTCCTCTGCACTAGAAGTCGCTGAGGATGCTGATGTCAGCGAACTCCTGCCGGTATCTGTAGGAGTACAGGGCGAGGAGGAAGGACCACTTGAAGGTGAGGAAGCTCCAGACGCTGGACAGGTAGAGGCTGCGGGGGTCCGTGGGGGCTGGGGGACACAAAACAACACTTATAATCCTTATATTAACCTGCACTCTTATGTAAACATGTTCATACAAATGCACAACTTTCTACTCTGATATCTTGTTTCAATAGTTCCTTTATTTTTGCTGTATTATTAATTTAAATCCTGTTTTTCATTCTGACACTGTAATTAAATAAAGTTCCATCTCATTAAGCTTAATTCTTAAAAACGCCTTATTGTGCTTTTTATGGGAGTTTCTCTCCAACACACTCCTTTGTTTACTTCCTGTGACATCACTGTGTATCACTCGCGCTCCTATTGGCTCGCGCTCCAACATGTTGTACGTGATAGGCTAAGGGGCGGGACATCTCTAAGCGCTTGACCAATCACAACAGAGCCGGCCAGCTAACCAATCAGAGCAGACTGGAGTATATTCTGAGACAACCCTACGCGCTGAAAGTATATTTGAATAGTTCCCGTGCCTATGGAAGGTATGATGACTTTCTATAAGCACTGTGTAAAGAGTAGAGAGAGGACTACTTTGTTTCTGAGTGATGGCGAGCGTGAGGAAGGTGATGAAGCCGGCGACCGCCAACATCGAGAAAATCACGCCGACAGCGATGAAGAACTTCAGACCTTTGAGCCAAGTGCGCCAGAAATCCTGCAGGTACATGACGTGTGTGACCAGACACCAGAACGCCAAGACACCTGCGCACACACACACACACACACACACACACACACACACACACACACACACACACAACACACACACACACACACACACACACACACACACACACACACACACACACACACACACACACACACACACACACACACACACACACACACACACAGTTGTAGTTTCTCAACATGGGCCAAATGTAGATACTTGAAGTATTACAGTACTGCATTATATTATAGCCTATCATGTGTTTTTATATGTAGAAAAGTAACTAGTGTTAAATACATTTGGTGCAGGAAAAAGTATTCACCTCTGAAATGTAGTGGACAGTAACATTTTGAAATCAGGAAGTAGTGTGGAGTATTATGAATACTGTGCCGTGGTATTTGAGGATCTGAATAATTAACACTGTACCTAACACATAGGCAGGCATGAGTTTTTAAAGCTATAACATATAAAGATCCCATAAACAGCTACTTTGCACAATTGCCAGTATGTGTCTGGAGTATATTTCTATATGTCTGTAGCTTAGTGAGATTATATAATGTAGAATATTCAATGTATTTTGTGTATTATGTACTCTATTGGGAATGTGTGTATAGTTTTGCTGCTAATGTTAATTGTATTATATTTGTATCTTACTGTGACTTTTAAAGATGTGTATCTCGTGTAATGCTTGACAACACTGTGACAAAATACATTTCACAATTTTGGATAATAACATGTCTTAAAATTTATCTAAACTAAATATGTAATATGCCAGTAAAACCTGTTAATAAGGAGTGTTTAAAGACATGTACACAGACCTGACAGGCCTCCCATGGCTGCGGTCCACGGCTGTTTGTAGGCGATGTTCCAGACCAGGAAAGCCGAGAGTCCAACCAAGGTCCCGAATGTAGCATAAGCTAAGCTAATGTAAATCCTTCTAACTCCCATTGTAAAAACACGACTAATGAAAGTAAAACGACTGAACCAGGCGTGACAAGTTACAAACAACAGACTGTGTTTCTACATCAACAGCTTACCGCCATGTTATGTAACAATAATATCATAATAACGAACACATTCATGTATTATAGGTTAGCTGAACGACGCTTAGCTATGTTAGCAAGATAGTTTAGCAGTGAAGATAATTAGTTTCTGTTTAAAGTGCGACACAAACTGCGACTGTTTAATTTGAAGCTAACAGCAGCTAAAGCTAAGTACCAACAGTGTTTATCTGATGTCCAGCCAAAGATGACTTGCTGTGATCAAGATGATACCCCCCAAAGCGGATCGTCATCTTCGTCTTGACGTCACAATATATTTAAGAGGATTACATTTCTACGGTTTTAATTGTTGGTACATATACTCCACTGTTATATGATACTGGAAATATAGAATAGTTTGTGGTTGAGGTGTTGAAACATAGAAATTGTTCGGGTTTGTAACGATTTGCCACACAGTCAGATGTATCTCTTATTCAGTCAACTGTCTTTGACTGAGGAAACCCCCCAACTCGCAAACACAGCGGTCCATAGAGGTGCAAAGAGGAACTGCAACACATAGATTAGCCGAACCACGCTTAGCAATGTTGGCAAGATATTTTTGCAGCGAAGATAGTTGGTTTCTGTTTAAAGTGCGACACAAACTGCGATATTTGAAGCTAACAGCAGCTAAAGACAACTGTTTTTATGTTCAGCCAAAGATGACCCGCTGTGATCAAGATGATTGCCCCATCACGGACTATCGTCTTCAATTTATACCTCCAAATATAAAAAAGGCTAACATTTCTTATATTATAATAGTTGGTAAATATACTGTTTTATGACAGTCGAAATATACATTATTTTTGCTGTAGCAGTGTTGGAAAGTACGATTTGTTATGGTTTGTTTTTAACGATTTGCCACCAAGTCAGATATATCTAAACACCTGAACATCAGCAGGAGAGGACTCTTTAAAGTAGAGACACTACATACTGATATATACCTGAACATGAGCAGGAGAGGACTCTTTAAAGTAGAGACAATACATACTGATATACACCTGAACATCAGCAGGAGAGGACTCTTTAAAGTAGAGACACTACATACTGATATACACCTGAACATCAGCAGGAGAGGACTCTTTAAAGTAGAGACACTACATACTGATATACACCTGAACATCAGCAGGAGAGGACTCTTTAAAGTAGAGACACTACATACTGATATACACCTGAACATCAGCAGGAGAGGACTCTTTAAAGTAGAGACACTACATACTGATATACACCTGAACATCAGCAGGAGAGGACTCTTTAAAGTAGAGATACTACAGACTGATATACACCTGAACATCAGCAGGAGAGAACTCTTTTGGGAAACTGAATAACCTCATGTAGCGTGAAGTGACTAGCTGTCTGCATGTAGCCCTGTGTAGCACAATGACAGTACATTAATATATAGCCTTGAATGATGCATTCATCTGTGAAAAAGCACATTCCTGTGTTCTATTTGTATCAAACATGTGATGTACAAGTCTTATAAGTTCATCACGTGTCTCATGCATAACAGGTTTGTCTGCAAAGGAATCAAAGCTGTCAGATGAATGGAGTGCAATAACATCTAAATAGAAAGGCAATTGTAAAAAGTAGCATCGATTGGAAATATCCAGGTTAATTCTCTAAATATTAAGGAGAGGAAATGTTTGAGAATAAAAAATGTGATATTCACATGAAACCGTGACTATGGAGAGAGTGGTTTTATCATAGTTTCCTGAACACACTGCTGCTCCTGTAACACAAGAACTTCCCGATTTGGGATCAATGAATTGTCTATCGATCTACTTTGAATAGAAATCTAGCTGATGCACATTACGTCTTGACTTTACAAGTGTTTCTGTGGTTGTTTGCAGCAGCAGTGTGCATCGTGTAGAGCATGTCACAGGAAAACCACAGCGAAACGAAAGCAAATTAAATCACAGACTGTGTCACACACACACACACACATGCCATGCATACATCACTTCAGGGGACATTACATTGACTTACATGCATTTCCTGGAGATTATCCTAACCTTAACCCTAACCAACACATGCCTAACCCTAAACAAGTCTTCACCCTAAAATGAATGATCCCCCTTATGGGGACCTCCAATTTGTCCCCATAAGGGAGGCGAGTCCCCACACATGACTGTGTAAACAGATTTAGGTCCCCACAAGTATAGTAATGCCAGGCCACACACACACTCTTCACGGCCAATCAGAGAGATACAGGAAGTTGAATCCACTCCCTATAACTCACATCAACAGAAACGTCTTCACTCAAATTAAGAGAGCGAAAAACTCAGAAAGCGTGGACTGACGCACACGGAGTGAAACACACGACCAGAGGTGAGTGTTTTTTAATCAACACTTTTGTGCAGATGTATTTAATTTCTTCAGATGGAAAATAGACTATTATGAGCAGTTTTGCAGATTATTTGACAAAGTAAGTTGTTTATTTCCTAATGATTAGTTAACGTTGTTGTGTGTTTGAACTGAACGAGTGATAAAAGGATGAGCATGTGACACGCAGCAGCCGGAGTGTTTGCAGAGGTTCAGAAATATGTTAAAATAATTATACAAATGTTTGTCCTCTTTGACCATATTTTATATTTATTTATGTTATTTTCTTATTTAATTTGTATTATTTATCTATACATTTTTTATTTGGTTAATTTATTTATGTGTTATTTTCTTATATAAACAAGTTTAAAAATAAAAAGTAAATGAAGAAGGCATGATGGAGACATTTGGGACACTCACTGTCACTGCTAACTGGACAGGGGAGAGGAAGGAAGTGTGTGTGTGTGTGTGTGTGTGTGTGTGTGTGTGTGTGTGTGTGTGTGTGTGTGTGTGTGTGGTGTGTGTGTGTGTGTGTGTGTGTGTGTGTGTGTGTGTGTGTGTGTGTGTGTGTGTGTGTGTGTGTGTGTCCTAGCATTACTATACTTGTGGGGACCTAAATCTGTTTACACAGTCACGTGTGGGGACTCGCCTCCCTTATGGGGACAAATTGGAGGTCCCCATGAGGGGGATCATTAATTTTAGGGTGAAGACTTGGTTAGGGTTAGGATTAGCCATGTGTTGGTTAGGGTTAAGGTTAGGATAAGTCTCCAGGAAATGCATGTAAGTCAATGTAATGTCCACTGAAGTGATATATACATGGTGTGTGTGTGTGTGTGTGTGTGTGTGTGTGTGTGTGTGTGTGTGTGTGTGTGTGTGTGTGTGTGTGTGTGTGTGTGTGTGTGTGTGTGTGTGTGTGTGTGTGTGTGTGTGTGTGTGTGTGTGTTGTGTGTGTGTTGTGTGTGTGTGTGTGTGTGTGGTGTGTGTGTGTGTGTGTGTGTGTGTGTGTGTGTGTGTGTGTGTGTGTGTGTGTGTGTGTGTGTGTGTGTGTGTGTGTGTGTGTGTGTGTGTGTGTGTGTGTGTGTCTCTCAAGCCTGGCACAACAGAGATGTTTGGGCGTAGATCTGTTGCAGGAAATCCCACTCCCATTCCCGGAGGATCTGAGTAGAAACACATGAACGCTCAGATTAAAATAAGAAAGAAAGAAACACACGAAAATATTCAATAAAATACATAAAAGTGCACAAAAATCCTTCACTTTAGTTTACGTACTTTTTAAACTCTTTTATTCTGTGGTTCGTTTATATAAAGGAGAATCAGTGGAAAGATTCTTATCTTAATATTTATTTTTAGATTTGTGTAAATTATCAGTAAGTAGTGTCTCTACTTTAAAGAGTCCTCTCCTGCTGATGTTTCAGGTGGTATATCAGTATGTAGTGTCCTCTACTTTAAAGAGTCCTCTCCTGCTGATGTCCAGGTGTATATCAGTATGTAGTTTGTCTCTACTTTAAAGAGTCCTCTCCTGCTGATGTTCAGGTGTATATCAGTATGTAGTGTCTCTACTTTAAAGAGTCCTCTCCTGCTGGTGTTCAGGTGTATATCAGTATGTAGTGTCTCTACTTTAAAGAGTCCTCTCCTGCTGCTGTTTCAGGTGTATATCAGTATGTAGTGTCTCTACTTTAAAGAGTCCTCTCCTGCTGATGTTCAGGTGTATATCAGTATGTAGTCTCTACTTTAAAGAGTCCTCTCCTGCTGATGTTCAGGTGTATTCAGTATGTAGTGTCTCTACTTTAAAGAGTCCTCTCCTGCTGATGGGTCAGGTGTATATCAGTATGTAGTGTCTCTACTTTAAAGAGTCCTCTCCTGCTGGTGTTCAGGTGTATATCAGTATGTAGTGTCTCTACTTTAAAGAGTCCTCTCTGCTGGTGTTCAGGTGTATATCAGTATGTAGTGTCTCTACTTTAAAGAGGTCCTCTCCTGCTGATGTTCAGGGTGTATATCAGTATGTAGTGTCTCTACTTTAAAGAGTCCTTCTCCTGCTGATGTTCAGGTGTAATCAGTATGTAGTGGCTCTACTTTAAAGAGTCCTCACCTGCTGGTGTTCAGGTGTATATCGTATGTAGTGTCTCTACTTTAAAGAGTCCTCTCCTGCTGATGTTCAGGTGTATATCAGTATGTAGTCTCTACTTTAAAGAGTCCTCTCCTGCTGATGTTCAGGTGTATATCAGTATGTAGTGTCTCTACTTTAAAGAGTCCTCTCCTGCTGATGTTCAGGTGTATATCATTATGTAGTGTCTCTACTTTAAAGAGTCCTCTCCTGCTGATGTTCAGGTGTATATCATTATGTAGTGTCTCTACTTTAAAGAGTCCTCTCCTGCTCATGTTCAGGTGTATATCAGTATGTAGTGTCTCTACTTTAAAGAGTCCTCTCCTGCTGATGTTCAGGTGTATATCAGTATGTAGTGTCTCTACTTAAAGAGTCCTCTCCTGCTGATGTTCAGCTGTATATCAGTATGTAGTGTCTCTACTTGAAAGAGGCTTTCCTCTGAACTGAAAGACACTATAAGTCACTTTGTGTTGATTTCTCAGTTTCCATCCACATCCAATATTATAAACACCTGGATGGAGCATGCTTTGGTGTCAGAAGAAAAGAGGCAAGTTATTTAAAAATAATGAAATAATGGTTCTACTTATGTCTTTGTAAGATTTACAACACAAAACCGTCAATTTGTAATATGAAGACGGTGAAATAAAGTCAACTGTGTGCCTTTAATTTAAATACACTCACAGCAATGCATGATGTTCTGCTGAAGGTGTTTTTGTTCATGCAGGCCATGTGGAGGAGGCATCGGTTTCACATTCAAACCGTTTAAAAACACTGTAAACTCCTTGCAGTAACGTGAGTGC